TCAGCACAGCATCAGCATCAGCATCATCATCATCAGCATCAGCATCAGCATCAGCATCATCATCGTCATCATCATCATCATCATCATCATCATCATCATCATCATCATCAGGATCATCATCTGCATCATCATCAGCAGCATCAGCATCAGTATCAGCATCAGCATCAGCATCATCATCATAACCTTACCACCAACACCAACACCACCACCACCACCACCACCATCATCATCATCATCATCATCATCATCAACATCACCGTCAGCAAGAGCTTCATAATCATCAGCAGCTGCATCAGAAAGCATCTCAATCATGATCATCATCATCATCAGCATCATCATCATTATCATCATCCGCATCAGCATCATCATCAGCATAATCAGCATCATCATCATCACCAGCATCCTCATCATCCGCATCATCATCAGCACCTTCATCATCATCATCATCAGCATCATCATCATCACAAGAATGATCATCAACATTATCATCATGATCATCACAAACAGCATCATCATCAGCAGCAGCAGCATCATCAGCATCAGCATAATCATCATCATGAGCAGCATCATCATCAATATCATCAACATCAGCATCATCATCGTCATGATCTCTCACCTGCATCATCCGCATCAGCATCAGCAGCATCGATTATCAGTATCATCTTAATCGTCATCGTCCTTGAAATCATCTTCATCGCCATCATCATCATCATCCTCATCCTCATCCTCATCATCATCATCATCATCATCAGCAGCAACAGCATCATCATCAACATCAGCAGCATCATCATCATCAGCATCACCGTCAGCATCCTCATCATCATTGGCATCATCATCACTGTCATCATCAGCAGCAGCATCATCAGCATCATCAGCATTACCATCGGCATCATCATCAACATCAGCAGCATCATCATTATCATCATCGTCACCAACACCACCACCACCACCATCATCATCATCATCGTCATCATCAGCATCATTGTCAGCATTATCATCAGCAGCATCATAATCAGAATCGTCATCATCATGATCAGCAATGTCATCATCATCATCATCATCATCATCCTCATCAGCATCAGCATCATCATCGTCGTCGTCAGTATCACCATCATCATCAGCAGCACCATCATCATCAGCAGCAGCAGCATCCGCATCATCATCAGCAGCAGCATCATCATCAACAGCATCAGCATCGTCATCCGCATCATCCGCGTCATCATCATCGGCATCAGCATAAGCATCATTATCACCATCATCGTCATCATCATCATCGTCATCATCATCAGCATCATTGTCAGCATCATCATCAGCAGCATCATAATCGGAATCGTCATCATCATGATCAGCAATGTCATCATCATCATCATCATCATCATCATCATCATCATCATCATCATCATCATCATCATCATTATCATCAGCATCAGCATCCGCATCATCCGCATCATCATCCCTTCTCCTCCTCCTCCTCCTCCTCCTCCTTCTCCTCCTCCTCCTCCTTCTACCCCTGCTCCTGCATCCTCCTCCTCCTCCTCCACATCGTCCTCCTCCTCCTCCTCCTCCTCCTCCTCCTCCTCCTCCTCCTCCTCCTCCTCCTCCTCCCCCCCCCCCCTCCTCCTCCTCCTCCTCCTCCTCCTCCTCCTCCTCCTCTTCCTCCTCCTCCTCCTCCTCCTCCTGCTCCTTCTCCTCCTCCTCCTCCTCCTCCTTCCCCTCCATCCCCTTTCCTTATGAATATCTTCTCCCAATCGCATCCCGAGGCCAGTTGGAAGGGCTGGCCGGGCGTTTCGCGTGAGACCTCCTTACCAAGTATAATCATGGAGCTTAACCACAGGCAACAATGTCACCGATGGATGGCGGACCGTTTTCAAAAGGTGGCAAAATGAAACTCTCGCCTCAGCGTCGCGCATATCCGTCTTAAAACATGCAGCTGTTCCAAAGATGCGGGCGCGACATGTTCAAAATGTGGCTCTCGTCTTGGCGCCGCGCATATACGTATGTAAAGGTTGTAGCATTTTCACTGGTGGAGGGTGGGCCGTTGTCAAAATGTGGCTCCCGCCTTAGCGTCGCGCGCGTTCGTCTTAACTGTTTGCAGCAGCCTCAATGCTTGACGGCGGCTATTGTTCAAAATGTAGCTCTTCTCTCTCCTCTTAGCACCGCGCACACCCGCCGCAAAAGCTTGCAACTGTTTCAAGGGCTCGCATGAAATAAATCCCAGGAATGGTGTTCTGGCACGATTCAGGATTGCCGGGACGCGACAGTGCAATGGATTCGGGGTGTTCAAGTCCCAGGAATGGTGTCCTGACACGGTTAAGGACTGTCAGGACGCAACAGTCTCGTGGCCTCGTGGCGCTGAACTCTTCTTCCATGGAACGCAGCCCCGAAGGCCAGCACAGCGAAAAGATTTGCACTGTCACTGTACATTGCCCCCCCCACGCGCACGACAGCGCTAAGCAAGCCTGATGCCCGCGGTTCCTGTCGAAGCGCGCCGTCGAGGGTGTGCGCAACAGAAGGGAAGCGCAAAGCGGAGGAGGACGCAGGCGGGAAAAAAAGACAACGGCATTGTGGACGGAAGCCACATGGCCATGAATAGAACCCACACGACAGCAGCCAGAAGGAGAAGGAGGAGGAGGAAAGAGGAGGAGAAACGAAAGGTAGAAAGAATCGAATTACCTTTAAAACCGCATCACCCTGATATTCGCGGCGCTGAACTCCCAAAAATCGTGCTTTGGCACTGTTGAAGATTCTCAGACGGTTGTCTTCCAATGGAGTTCCCAGGATGAGAACAAGTTCTTGAGGGGCCCTACGAAGAGAGGATTCCGAGGGAGGGACTATAGCAACATCGTTAACGCGTCTTGGGTTTACACTGGTCCTCCTCCTCCTCCTCCTCCTCAACATCCTCAACCTCATTCTCCTGCCCATCCTCCTCCTCCTCCTCCTCACCTCATCCTCCTTTTCCTCCTCGACCTCATCCTCCTCCTGCTCCTCCTCATCATCCATCCACGCTCCTGCTGCTCCCGCTGCTGGCACGGTGGGAGGGGTGCCGACAAGGCCCCAGAGGTGGGCTGCGGCACGCCCAGCCTGGCCTCGAAGGGCCACGGCGAGACCTCGGGCTGGAGACGATGCCGAAGACGACAACGGCTACGACGACGACGACGACGACGACGACCTCGATAATCACGACGACCACCACGATAGTTGCAATGACGATGACAGCAGATGACCACGACGCCTCAGACGACGACGACGACGAAGACGACGACGACGACGACGACAACCATTATTATGACGACGATATTTAACGACGATGACGACGATGACGACGACGACGACGACGACCACGAGAAATTCTGGAGCAGGCTGCAGCACGCCCCGCCCGCGCCTCGGAGGGTCGCGGTGAGGCTCCTGGCGGGCTCGGGCTCGGGCTCGGGCCGAAAGCGGGCCTCCGAATGTGCAGAGGCGCCCCGGGCGAGGGACAGAGACGTGGAGACGACCGATGGCTGCAGGGACGCGGGTGGAGAGGCGGGGAGTCTAGGTAAGCCAGTGTGAAGGGGGAGATGTAGGGAGCCAGGAGCCTCGACGGCGCATCGGCAGGGAAGATGCCGTGCAGATGTACACTGGCAAAGTGGTGAGAAGCATCGATCGGCTGGGATTCTCTGCCGCCAGTGCTGCTTTGATACCGCTGGAGGTCAAGCAGAAAAGCGATGATACATCTGAGGCAGAGCGATGAGATGGGGAAGGACACATCACGGCGGAGCGATCGAAGCAACAGTTCTGCCGCTGGGGGAGATGTTGGAGTGGGCGTTCGAAGAGGCTCAGTGGCGACGGCGACGCCGACGGGCAGGCCTGCAACCCAGTTTTTGAATCATCGCCCAGGGCGCTGCTGCGTGACGGGCCCCCCGGGCCTGTCCTAATCGCCTTCCTACAGCCAAGAGGCTACGGTCGGGAATTTTTGCTCAGCGTGTCGTTGCGGCGGCCCCGACGACACGCTATGCCCTGCCATCGTATAGCGTGTCGCTTCTCACCGCGGGGCGGGAGGCGGGGAGCGGCTCGGGAGGTTGACGCTTGGGGACTGGGAGGCGAGTAGCGTGTCGCGCCGAAGCGTGGTGGGCCAGGACCGGAGGAGCGACACGCGAACCAAAAGTTCCCGACCGTACCATGAGGAACCATACTACCCTCGTCAAAATTAACCTCAAAAATGGCGACCACGCCACTGCGATGTCGGCGCGCTCTTCAATGTCGATAAACGCCCCTCCAATGTCGAAGCCAAGGCAAAGTGGTCTGACCGGGAACGACTCGGAAGTTCGATGATGACCGACATTGGAGGGGCGGCGCATACAAGTACCTCGCAGTCACCGCAACTCTGACCAGTATCTCCCCACAAACAGTTCAGCCACGTAAGACATTGTTGAAGTTAATTTGGACGAGGGCTGTAGAAAGGGACGAAGCCCATAGTTGGCCCCAAAGGCAGCTGGGTGCACGAGGAGCGCTGGAGGAGCCACCATGGAAGGGCCGAAAGGAACCGCGAGCCCCCGCCGAACCCGAGCTGCTCCTCTCTCCAGCGCCTGGACTGCACGCCGGCCGAGGGCCTGCCACAGGGCAGCACGGCCCCGGAGAAGCAAAGACCTCCAGCCTGGAGGCCGGACCTCCACTCTGAGTATCGTTTAACCGATCCCCATCCCCAGCGGCGTGGCCTGGGCCCCACTGGCCGATTTACCCCCCTAGATCCTCCTCCCTCCTCCCTCCTCCCTCATCCCTCCTCCCTCCTCCCTCCTCGCCCCTCCCTCCTTCCCCCTCCCTCCTCCTCCCTCCTCCCTCCTCCTCCTCCCTCCTCCCTCCTCCCCCTCCCTCCTCCCCCCCCCCTCCTCCTCGCCCCTCCCTCCCCCCCCCCCTCCCTCCTCCTCCTTCCGCCGCCCTCCTCCCCTCCCTCCTCCCTCCTCCCTCCTCCCTCCTCCTGCCCCCGTCGTCATCCCACGGTCCCCTCCTCCTACCTCCCCCCTCCGGCGCCTGCGCCGTCGCGCGCGCGCCCCGCGGGGGGCACCCTTTCCGCGGAGAAATCTGCGCCCACCGGCCATCAAGAGCGCTGGGGCGACTCGCTGAACGGGCCAGACCTCCGCTGCCTCGCGGGCCCTTCTCGAGCCGGCACGGCCCCCACCCAGAGGATCAAAACCCCAAGATCCGAGCGCCGCAGTCTTTGTCGCGCCGGGCGTTGCTGCCGGGCGTCGGGCCCCAGGGCCATCACAGATCGATCCCGCTTGACAAATTCCGCGGGAAGACGGGGCCTAGAGTTCTGGTGTTGCTTTTGTCGCGACTTTGCATTTTTGTCGCAACGTCGGATCTCAGGGAACTGACGGGGCGGGCCTTCTCAGAAGGCTCGGAGCCCCTAAGCCTTCTCCGAAGCCACAGACGGCTTCTCAGAAGGCCAGAGAGCTTCTGAGAAGCTCCGCCGCCTTCTGAGAAGGCCTACGCCCTCTCAATTCCATCTCGGCGCGCCGCCGAACGTGGGAGAAAGCAAACTTTGACAGCAAAGGGAAAGACTTCCAGAATGGAGGTCGACCGTCAACTTTGAAGGTTTTTGATCCTCTGGTCAGGCCTCGCGCGCGACCCCCTTCGCAAGGCCGGTTTTCATCCCGAGCCGCTTTTGTTGATGGCCCTTCAGACGGCCTCCGGACGCCGAAATTCATGGAGCATCTCCGACCCGATCCATTCCATCCGCCAGAAGTTGGAACAAAAAGGGCTCAAAGTCCGTCCCTGGACCCTACGCGCGATCGGAGCTGGGCAGTTTTCGAGACGCGTCTGGACGTGGCGAAGAGGAGGGCCCCCGAAGACCAAAGAACGAGGAACGAGGCTCCGAAGGCTGTCCGTCTCGAGCTCTCCGAGTCGCCAGAGGTCTGGGTGTGGGGCTGCGAAAGGAGGCCCCTGCGCGTTCAAAGTCGAAAACTTCGCCGGTCAATCCTGGCGCTGTCCCAGCAGAACAGGTGCCAGCCGGAGAAACAAATATATTATTGGGGAGGAGGACACGACCAGACAAGACCTTCTCCTCCTCGCTCCTTCTTCTTCTCCTCCTCCTCCTCCTCCTCCTCCTCCTCCTCCTCCTCCTCCTCCTCCTCCTTCCTCTTCCTCCTCCTCCGCCGCAGCCCCGTCCTCCTCTGCTGTCATCCACATTCTTCTTCTCCTCCTCCTCCTCCTCCTCCTCCTCCTCCTCCTCCTCCTCCTCCTCCTCCTCCTCCCCCTGCTCCTGCTCCTGCTCCTGATCCTCCTGCTCCTGCTCCTGCTGCTCCTCTTCCCCTCCGATCGTAAGCATGCACAGGCAAAAGCGAAGGCATGCTTGGCAGGGGGTCTGGGAATCTGAAACCAGTAAGGGCCGTGACGCAACTCTCGGCCCACGGGTCGAACAGGGGGTCCAACCGTGTCAGAGATTTCCAAGGGCACTTTGCCGAGAGACCCCGAAATGGTCGTTCTCGTTCGTTCATCCTGTCACAGTATGCAGCACGCTGTTACTTCACAAGCTTTTTCCCCTCCCTGGACGTCCCTGGGCGGACCCAGGAGGAGGAGGAACGAAGAGGAAGATAAGGAGGCGGAGGAGGAGGAACAGGAGGAGGAGGAGAACCAGTGAAACCCAAGACGCATCAACGACGTTGCAACACATCCTTCTCCAAGTTCCCTCTTCATGGGCCCCTGCAAGAATATATTTCCATTGCGGGAAGTGCCCCATTGAAAGACAACCGTCTGAGAATCTCTGATGTTGCCAAAGCATCATTCCAGGGACTTCAACACCACGAGTCGACGGGATTGCTGCTTCATGACAATCCGAAACCGTGGCAAAACCCAAAGGACTTCAACACAACGAATCCTCTAAACCGTTATACATTTTGAAACGAAAGACAGTGCGCGGGGCTAATCGTAATCTCAGGCGAAATACCCAGCCCGCCCTGATTACCAACACATCTGGGGGTGCGAAAGGGAAAGCCTTGCAGAAGGAAATATATTGCAGGAGGAGGAGGGAAAGAAGGATCAGGAGGACGATGAGGGTGGAGGCTGGAGGAAGGAGGAGGAGAAAGGTGGTAGGAGGAGGAGGAGGAGGAGGAGGAGGAGGCGGAAGAGGGTGGAGGAAGGAGGAGGAGGAGGAGGAGGAGGAGGAGGAGGAGGAGGAGGAGGAGGAGGAGGAGGAGGAGGAGGAGGAGGAGGAGGGGGGGCAAGAGCAAGAGGAGCAGGCGGAAGAGAAGGAGGAGGAGGAGGAGGAGGAGGAGAAGAAAGAGCAGGAGGAGCAGACGGAAGAGAAGGAGAGGAGGTGATGAGATGAGGCAGCGGCCTGAAGCCAGCTCGGGAGGCCTAGTCAAGCCCCGAATCGGAGGCCTCCAACGCAGAGGCCTCATCAAAATGCTCGGCGTCCGCAGCACGCTCGAGGAGGCTCGCACCCAAGGCGGCAGTGTCTCCTCCTCCAGATCGAACGCCTTTAGCACGGCGGCTCAGAACCCCAAGCCCTCAAGAGAGCCCACGCCTCGCAGTCCAGCTCCACCCCCCGCCGCCGCGTCCTGAGTCGCCGCGCAAGGGGTGGCCCCAGAGGGCCCGAAAATGAAGCCAGCGGTGCCCACACGTCCTCGGGCACCCCCACGAAGGGGGTCGATGCGGAGGTCACTCCCGCCTGCTTTGTGCGAGGGCCAGCGACCGCCCTGGATGCGGCTCGGCTGCCCGCTCAGGCCCGCGGACGCGTGCTGACAGAGGCATGGCGGAAGGAGGGCCCGAGTGGGCGTGTAGCCAGAAAAGAAAACCCAACAGGCGCAGCAAAAACACAGAGGCAGCCCGTCCTCATTGCCAGAAAGGGCCGTGCCACGCGCAAACGGCAACGGGTGGCCGTTGAAGCTGTAGCCGACATCCCGAAACTGCTCCCAGCCTTCGGCGGGGTCCTGCGAGGAGGCCACGGCGGCGAGCGGGGGAAAGGGGGGGGGCGGTGGGGCCTCCACCGCCTGCGCGGAGGCTTCAGTGCTGGCCCTCATACGACCCCATCAGACCAGCATGATCACGACTCGCCAGGCCATCACCCACCAGAACGTGCAGCTCCGCACTCCACCTCCCCGCCTCTGGCCGGCTCATTCAGGCCTCGCCGCAGGTGGCTGTCCTCAATCGCCACGCTATGACAAGAGGCCCACTGCCAATCCTTTCCCAAAGGGTTGAGCGGTCACTTAGAACAACGTGCATCTTACAATGGGCCTTAGTCTTGTGAGCCGCGAAATGCCCAAGATCGAAATTCGCCCAGCACGGAAACCATGCGCGGGCCCGCGGGTTACCCGAGCCAGTGCCAGCCCCGGGGCCAGCCCACAGAGTCGAGACGGTGCCCTTGCAATCAATGAACAGATCGAAGGGTGGCATGGCAAGTTGACACAACACGCTGACAGCGAAATCTCCCGCATCTCTCGAGCTTTGGGAGGGCGCCGCCTCTAACGGAACTGCGCTGCACGACACCGGCAGCACATAACCGAAACGGTCACACATCACGACGGACCAACTCGCGCTGGAAAGTGGCGCCCCAAGGACAAACTTATCCTGGCGAAGGGCCCAACCATATGCAATTGTGAGCACCGCAAGGCAAGTGGGACGACGGAGGGGGAGCTCCAAATGGGGCCACGTGATGTGTGAGAGTATGCCGGCATGGGCGGGGGTGTACGTGGACACCGCCGCCAGGGCCGTCGGTGGGGTGCCTTAAAAGCAAGCCACGAAACGCGGTACGTACTGGGTGGAGCGGATGCATGTGATTACAGCCAATGTGGCCATGGGGACCACCAAAGTATACTGGGTGGCGTGGGCGCATGTGATCACAGCCACTGGGGCCTTGGGGCCTTCGGTGGAGCTCCCTATGGGACCACGAAACGCTGTACTGGGTGGCGCGGGCGCATGTGATCACAGCCGCTGGGGCCGTCGGTGTGGCTCCCGATGGGGCCACGAAACGCTGTACTGGGTGGCGCGGGAGCATATGATCACAGCCACTGAGGCCGGTGGAGTTCCCTATGGGCCTCGAAACGCTGAACTAGGTGGCGCGGGCGCATGTGATCACAGCCGCTTGGGCCTTCGGTGGAGCTCCCGATGGGGCTACGGAAAGCTGCACTAGGTGGCGCGGGAGCATATGATCACAGCCACTGAGGCCGGTGGAGTTCCCTATGGGCCTCGAAACGCTGAACTAGGTGGCGCGGGCGCATATAATCACAGCATCTGGGGCCTTTGGTGGAGCTCCCTACAGGGCTACGAAGCGCTAAGCTGGGTGGGCGGACGCATGTGATCACAGCCACTGGGGCCGTCGGTGGAGCTCCCCCTGGGGCCACGAAACGCTGTACTGGGTGGAGTGGACGCATGTGACCACAGCCACTGAGGCCGTCGGTGGAGCGCCCCGTGGGGCCACGAAGCGCTGAGCTGGGCATCGCGGGTGCATTAGATCACAGCCACGGAGGCCTCCGGTGGAGTTCTCTATGGGGCCATGAAACGCGGTACGTACTGGGTGGCGCGGACGCATGTGATCACAGCCACTGGGCCCGTCGGTGGAGCTCCCTATGGGGTCACGACGCGCTGTACGGGGGCGCGGACGCATGTGATCACAGCCACTGGGGCCTTCGGTGGGGCTCCCTATGGGGCCACGAAACGCTGTACTGGGTGGCGCGGGCGCATGTGATCACAGCCACTGGGGCCGTCGGTGGCTCTCCCTACGGGGCTACGAAACGCTGTAATGGGTGGAGTGGACGAATGTGATCACAGCCACTGGGGCCGTCGGTGTAGCTCCCCATGGAGCCACGAAACGCTGTACTGGGGGGCGCAGACGCATGTGGTCACAGCCACTGGGGCCTTCGCTGGGGCCCCCTATGGGCCCACGAAGCGATGTACTGGGCGGCGCGGGCGCATGTGATCACAGCCACTGGGGCCTCCGCTGGGGCCCCCTATGGGCCCACGAAGCGATGTACTGGGTGGCGCGGGCGCATGTGATCACAGCAACTGGGGCCTTTGGTAGAGCTCCCTACAGGGCTACGAAGCGCTGAGCTGGGTGGGCGGACGCATGTGATCACAGCCACTGGGGCCGTCGGTGGAGCTCCCCCTGGGGCCACGAAACGCTGTACTGGGCGGAGTGGACGCATGTGACCACAGCCACTGAGGCCGTCGGTGGAGCTCCCCGTGGGGCCACGAAGCGCTGAGCTGGGTGGCGCGGGCGCATGTGATGACAGCCACTGGGGCCGTCGGTGGAGTTCCCTATGGGGCCACGAAAAGCTGCACTAGGTGGCGCGGGCGCATGTGATCACAGTCACTGGGCCCAACCCAACTGTACTGGGAGGCGCGGGCGCATATGATCACAGCCACTGGGGCCTCCGGTGGGGCTCCCCATGGGGCCACGAAGCGCTGCACAAGGTTGCGCGGGCGCATGTGATCACAGCCACTGGGCCCGTCGGTGGAGCTCCCTATGAGGCCACGAAACGCTGCGCTGGGTTCGCTGAGATGGTGGACATGCGGAGGGCAGAGGCAAGGCTGGTGGAGGAGGAAGAGAAGGAGGAGGAGGAGGAGGAGGAGCAGGAGGAGAGGGAGGAGGAGAAGGAGGAGGATAAGGAACGCAGGGCGCTGTCTCCTCAAAACGAGGACCCAACACCACAGGATGGTTGGAAAAAAACGAACCACCCAGGAACGGGGCACCCGAGAGGAGGCCCGCATCGGGCCACTGGTACCAAAAAAAACTGACTGCACACCAAGCTGTGGCTTCAGGACACTCGCAAGCAGGGGCCTCGGGTCGGGGAAAGACACCTCCAGCGAACAGCTCCACAACTCTAAAACTCCAAGCCTTGGCACGCCTAGCTCTGGCAGCAAGCCGGCGGGGCGCGCGATCCCCGCGCCGAGCCAGGACGTCGCACGCGCAGCATCGATACCAGGTGGACCCGTCCAGGTCCCAACAAATTGCGCTCTCGGGACTGGCCACCAGGCCATGCTTGCGAAGGCGGACCTGGGACCACCAAACCCCCGACATCAGGGCCCGAAGGGCCCGCTGCTAACTGTCCCTCCAACAGCTGCACCGCTGGCGCCAGCAGGAGGAGCAGGAGCAGCAGGAGCAGTGGCCGCCTTGGCCTGCTCTGCTTCCAACTGAAGCCGCTGTAGGACTGCGATCCCGCCCTTGCCCGCATGCGTTTCGACGACGACGGCGGCGGCGAGGCTGGCTTAGACCGCCTTGAGTGGGGCACCGAGCTCGGCCGCCTGGAGGTTGACCAGCAACTCATCAGTCTGGCCCAGCTCCACCTTGACTGCCTCCATGTTGGTCTTCACGTCTCCGAGCTCGACCTCTATCTCCATATTCTGCAGCTCCAGCGCTGCGGCCCTCGACTCCATCTTGCCGAGCTTGGTGCGAAAATTCTCCACCTTCCAGCTTGACCTCGACCGCAGCAGCATTCTTCGCCGCCTCCTCGACTGCAGCGATGGCCGATGCCTCGACCCCTTGAAGCTGATGGAAGCTGAACGCGTCCTTGTACGTCGGCCCAGAGGCCGCCACCGCCGACTTGCCACCGCTTCCGTTGTTAGCCCACGGAGGCTTGCCACCGAAGCCACTCGAGCTGCCCTTGGGCCCGCTCGAGCCATCCGAGACAGGGAGCTTCGCGATTTTGGCCTCCGAGGACGTGATGGTCCTGAGCAAAGTTCTCGCCTGAGTTGGGTACCACTTGCGCCCAATTGTCACGAGATTCACGCTGACTTCCCTGCTTGAGCCCCGCCACCGCCTTGGCCACAGCCTTGGCACCATGGATTGTGACAATACGTTGCGGTGCCGACTTGCCACACTGGTGGCATGACGCGCGCGACGCCCAGTTGCAATCGCAGCCACAGTTGCAACTCCAGTGAAGAAGGTGCGGCCCTGGCAATACCTCTGGCGGAGCATCCATCTGCAGCACCCATCTGCGGCAGCTGGCTGCAGAAACACTGATCGTTCTTACACAGACATGGGGGGCCACATGCGAACCCTTCCCCTACCCCCCACGATTTCTGAGGGGGAGAGTAGGGGTAGGGTCCGCATGTGGCCTCCTACAGACAGGCCCGCAAGCACGAGCCGCTCTGAAGTACGCGCTGGCAAGCTCATGCCCCAATCGCCTGGGCCAGAACGGCTAAGCTTGAGCCAAAATGGCCACGGAAGAGGAGGAGGAGGAGGAGGAGGAGGAGGAGGAGGAGGAGGGGGAGGAGGAGGAGGAGGAGGAGGAGGAGGAGGAGGAGGAGGAGGAGGGGGGAGGCAGAAGAGCATGAGGAGAAGGGTGGAGGGAGGGAGGGAGGAGGAGACGAGAGCAGCCAGCGCTCACTTCGGCGCCAGGGGCCCGTTCGGCGCGTAGGCGCCGCTGGGCACGTCCGGGTGCGGCTGGTGATCGAACTGCTTGTAGTCCGGCTTCAGCACCCCGCCGGTGTTGGTCACCTGGCCAGGGGGACTCCCGACGCATGGAGAGGATCAGGACAGAGCGATTCCACCACTTTCGGCGCCGGGAGGCCGCCTCCGGGGCCGGGGACCGGCAGAGAGCGATCTGGGATGCAAAAACGGCCACGGGGAAAAGAGAGGGCTACAGAAAACACGGCGGAGCAGCAGGGCAAGGTCAGAGAGAAGACCGTGGGAGTGCCGTTCGGCGGCAGGTCGCCACTGCAACGGCGGCCTTGTTGCCTGCCTTGTCGATGTAGTTGGGGGCGCTGAAGACGGTGTGGCAGAACGGCTGCGTCTCCTGACGGGAGCGAGCCGACGTCGGGTCGGCCAGCGCAAGGTCGGAGGGCCGCCGCGCAGCCCTCCCCCAGGCACGGGCCACGAGACGAGGCAGGGCGATCTAATACGAAAGGCAGGCCCGACGCAGAGCAGAGCAGGGGCACAGCAGAAGCGGGGCAGACCCTGAGCGGAGAGGGCTAGAGCAAGATGGGCAGCTGAAGAAGCGGCTGGCTGAGCGCGGGGAGACTGAAAGCGAAGCCTGGCGGACGCTGAGGCGGCACGGAAGGAATAGCGGCGGGAAGCGGAAGCAAAGGGCAAATCAAGCAAGCGCGCCTCAAAGCAGACCAGCCCTCTGGGCGTCCTGTGACCCAGGCCTCTCTCAAGAATCTCCTCTCCCCCAGTCTACCCAGTTCCCAGGGGAGGGGGTTACCCCGATTACCCCTCCCCTCCCCCACGTCGCAACACTTCCCCCAAGCCGAGCCACACGAAGGGGGTGTTTGAATGCCGTTCTGGATGGCCTGACCGATGCCTCCATTGGTCTTTTAGCGGAAGCTCTTGGCGGCATCCTGGTTACTTCTGGGATCATCTTGGTAAAGGGTGACAGGCCGTCTTATGGCTGTCTCGGGCCCTCTTGGGCCGTCTTGGAGCACGATACGGCACAACATCGAGCATCACATTTACGTGGTTCCAGCCCGCCGTTTTTGGATTGACGCTCGAAAGTTGCGGGGCCCAACATAACAAACTTGGCATCACTGATCGACCAATAACAAATAACAACAAGTACATACCGATGGGGCTGTGCACCTGCAACCCTGCTTAGAGTTAAGAACATGTTAAGCTAAGAAAATGGACTGCGCTCCAAGCGTGTTCTAAAACAGCATCCCAGGTCCAGATATAAGAAACATGTATTGAAAGATACTCCACGAAAACGCCTAGGGTCCAGTCCAGGTTCGTGATTTTCTTCAGCGAAATCTGGAGTCCATAAAAGTTCATGTATTAAGCAGATGTATGGTGGGTGTATGTGCCTGTCGTTCGGCCAATGTCGGAGCGCTGTTTTCACATGTCCGAATTTGGAACGACAAGCTCACTCGCGATGGTACTCCAGCGACGCAAACTAGAGGCGCATAGGAGCATCGCAAAGTAAGAAAGTCTGGTCGTCATGAACGCGGCGCTAAGTCTGCACGAAGACGGCGGCTCTAGAGCCCCCACGACCACTTCGCATCGACCACGAACTCTCGAGCAATTCATGCGTGGAGGCGCAGATGATGGTCACAAAGTGATGACGCTCCGACGCCCTGACGATGCTGACGCTCCACGGGGGCGGGGGGCGGCGCCCCGAACGCTTCTGACGCTCCTGGCTCCCTGGAGTGGCAGGAGCGTCAGAGCGTCCAGAGCGTCAGGGACGTCAGGAGCGCCAGGAGCGTCAGGAGCGTCAGAGGCAATACTAGGAGCATCACACAACCAAGTCGGAACTCCATTCCCGCACACGGTTCTTACACAAAAAAACACCCCACCGCACTTTTGGCTCTCCGTGTTGCCAGAACTCCACACCCGCGTACTCCTCCGACGCAAAGGTGGACACCCTAACACACTTCGTGCGCTGAAAAGAAATACCTAAGATTTCACGTTTTCAGCCACCGTGGCTTCAGCAAGTAGTGGATTGTCCTAAGGTCCATGCAGTTCTGAGAAATCATGCAATTCTGAAAGGTTTGAGTTCTGAACGGCCCAGACTACGAAATTCCTGCGCGCTCTTGGGCGCGGCCAAGCGCGGCCAAGCGCTTTCAGGGTGTTCCGCGAAGGCATCCGGGACGGTGCCCCCACCCAGGAGGGCCCCAAAGCGGCCAAAACAGCCCTGATAACGTCGCAAGAGGGTCCAAGAGGAATTCTATACGGCCCCACAGCTTCCCAAGACTCCCTAGATGGCCCCAAGACGTCCGAAGAAGGCTCTGAGATACCCCAAGAAAGCCTCAAAAGCCTTCCCAAGAGGGCCCCGAAGGCCAAAGTCAGTAACTTCCCTTGGGTTTTTGAAAGATGTTGGCTCTCTCGCCTTTTCGGCTTTCCGACGCTCCCAGGCGGCCCAAGGGACCCCCCAAGACTAGTCCTGGCCAGCCTGGTCCTGGGCCTGGCATCGGTGAGGTGGTCGGTTGACGTCGCCCGATCCACGGCTCGGGTTCGTTGTATACGTGCGCACGCCCTCCTCAAAGGACAGAGCCGGGATGACGCCAAGTAGTCCGGATGAGGATACTTCGGGAATCTGTGGAAACTGGCGGGTCTGGAGGGTGCATCTGACGCCGCGGCCGTTTCAGAGCACAGAGCACGGCATGAAGCGATGTATCCTCATTCTAGGCATGCCTGACCTGGCCTGACCACGAAGGCGACCATTGGCGCGCTCGGAGCGAGGACGGCAAGAGTGGTGGCGATGCCCAAGAGTAAGCAGCAGTCCGATGCCGACAAAGCGGCCGCTTTCGGGCAGGCGACTCTCGTCCAAAACGGACAACGCCCGCGGAAACACCGACAACCCTGCACGAAATGAACAGGAGCTGGTGTTGACCTTTGTCCCATTCGTTCCATCCCCACCCCATTCACCCCCCCGAGTATGCACCGATCCAGGGGCCCAGCATGGGCCTGGCCTGGATCGGCGCGTTGGTGCACAGTTGGCGCCCCCTCGGCCCCCGAGGGGGAAGCACGCCGAATCCCCCCGTCCTGGAAGCCCGCCGACTTGGTCTCGTGGGAGCGCAGGATCAGCTTCAGCCCATTCGCCTCGCAGAATTTCTGGGCGATGTCCGGCCCGAAGGTGTAGACCATCGGCACGCGGCCCGAGGGCCCGTAGCCGTTGGCGCCCTTGGGGTCGCCCCACAGGAAGTCGATCACCAGCGGAGACTCGAACGGATTCGGCTCCACTACCCGGTCTGTCGCCTCGATCTGGGCCAGAGTCATCTGGCCCCCCTCGCGGCTCAGGATGCCCGCCGCCTCGTCTGGCGCCTTGGAGAACCAGTCCTGGGGAGGGGAGCGCGACGAGTCACTGACGCGTCGCTGGACCCCCTTACGGCAGGTTCGCTTCGCGATGGTGTCGGCCCGCGCTGGTTTCTGGCACCGCGCGGCACTTTAAGCCTGGGGTCGCCGCCGTGTTGACGCGACGCACACCCGACTACCGTGCCTCAGCGGTTCAGGCCAAGAGCCCAGGGCTCTGACGCGGCGCAGAGCACCGGTTTGCTAAAGAAAATGATAGCCAGCGCGAGCCCCAAAACAGTAAGTTCTTGCACTGTGGATGAGTCAGATATGCTGCGCAAGCAGTGTGGTGCAAGCTGTGTGGTGCAAGATGTGAGTGGTACGAGCTATGCGGTGGAAGGTATGTGGTGGCACGACTACAGGACGGCAACGGGCAACAGCGTGGCGATTCCTCGACGGACCCCCCACGCAGCAACGGGAGGCGACGGGCGGCAACGGGCCAGATCATTGCGTATCCTCGACGCTGACACCCAGGCGGTAACGGGCGGCAACGGGCCAGCACGTGGCGAATCCTCGACGCTGCTACCCAAGCGGCAACTGGCGGCAACAGGCGACAACGGGCCGGTGGCGAATACTCGACGCACGCACCCAAACGGCAACAGGCAGCAACGGGCGGCAACGGACGGCAACGTGACGAGTCGTCGACGTACCTACCCGATTTCTTTGAAAGGTAAGTAAAAACCCGTAAATGCAAGCTCTCTTTGGGGAACCTGGATCTCTTTGGGGAACCTGGATCGGACGGGGAACTGGAACCAACGAGCCCCCTGGCCAAGCAGGCGGCCAGGGGAATCACCCAGAGCAAATACGCCGCCATGAGACGCACGAGGAGGGCCTGGCCTACTCCTGGGTTCATCCCATTATGCGCCCACGCCCCTGGACCGCTTGCGTGTTCCCTGGGCGTTGAAAACTTAACGATTGCTGCCACTCGGCAACAGGCAAAGGGCATTGTGCCTGGGGGGTCGGTGCCGTCTGCCTGCTACTCTGGCTTGTAAGTGGTTGCTGCGTCACCGCGTCGAATGCCAGCACCTTTGGCAGAAGTGTCCCCTGTTCCCCCACAGCCCCTGTCTGCGCCGCAACTGTGGCACCCTGCGTCGCAGGCGCTCGCGCGTCTGACAAATTCTTAGGGAACCAACTAGGTTTCCGATCCATGCCAAGCTCCGCAACGGCGGTCGCCAATGCTGCGCCATGGCTCTCGTCAGTCACACCGCCCACGGCCCCCTTGCAACTTCGGAGAAAATCGCTGCAAAAGTCCACTACATTCATTTGCCCGACCTTTGTTGCCTCAACGTACTTCGCGAAGGCTTCAGCGGTCTGGAGTGCTGCGCTGGCGCCCACGCCTGCAACGGTCGCTCCCACGCGGCGGAAGAACGTGACCATGGCCGCGCCCATGTCATTCAGGTGCGCCACAGACTCTTTCTTAGCCCAAAACGATTCTGGAGCAAGGCACCACACCGCGGCATACATGCCCTTCTTTTTCGGAGGTGCGTTTCTGCAAGCTCGCATGACCACGGCAATCTTGACCCACGACGCGGAATCTGCAATCCCCTTTGTCATGCCGAATGCCCCGAGTCGAAGAGCTCCCCTTTTTGAATTCACGTAATCCTGGCAGAACTCAAGGAGCAGCGGGACAAAGGGAGACCCCTTGCTCCCGAGCCCCACGATGAAATCAAACAGCTCCACGAATTCTGGGCCTTGAACGACCCGATCGAGCTGCCGAGACACGTTGTTTTGACCTCCTGAAAGTTCACCTGGTCCGCGACTGCGGTCGCCGCGGCAGCGCCGACAGCGTCGCATAAGAATGCGGAGCGCTGTTACTCCAGCAGCCCGCATCTGAAAGTCCGCCCCCTCGTTCAAGGATTGGCTGGCGAGCGAAGCTCCGCGGGGTTCTTTGTCCCTGACCCCCCCCAGGACAGCACCTCCATGAGCACCCCCTTTCCGTCAGGAGCTTCTGGGCAATAGGGTCGTCTTCCGCGACTGCGGCCGCGGCGTCGCTGCCATCCTCATCCAAAACGCGATTCGGCCTCACGCGCCCCGCGTCGGTGAATTCCATGCCCGGCGGGGCGAGCCACGCGGCCCCGCTCACAATCGCCCGCAGAACGAGGCACACATGAGAGTGCGAGAGGGACCCATGCACTACCTCGGCTCCGCAACCGCGGTTGAAACAATATTCTAGGAAACCCTTCGCGTTCTCTCGGCTGAACGCCTCGTACGTTTTGAAGGCAACGTTAACCTTCGCCCCCTCCCCCCCCCCCCCCTAGAAGCGCAACTGCCGGGGCACTCCTGAGCGCATCGGCCTCCGCCAGCGCGAAGCCCGCCACGATGATCTGCACCGCAAGCTCACGAACCCTCTCGTCCTGGGGGCGTTGACCGCCACGGTCGCTCGGGTGGGGCGCGACCACGCGCACTGGGATGCGGAGTGTTTTGTCCTGCGGTCTCTATCCTGCGGCGCCATCGGATCTCGGCTGCCTCCTGGAAGATCCCCAATCCGCCGCAGCTGTTGCAACTGCGGCTTCCGCCATGGCGCCTCAAGAGCACGCCGCGACTGCGACCTTCCACTGGCGCCTGGGGCGCTGCACTGGGCGCGTTCACGCAAAGTAATCGATCTGCGCTCGCAAGCGGCAGCGAAATATACTATGATGATCCTGATGTTGCTGTTGCTGCGACAGCGATGCTGGAATTGATGTTGATGCTGATGCTAACGTTGATGCTGATGTGGGTGATGGTACTGTTTTGATGTTGATGATGACGTTGATGCACATATGGCTGGCATCGACACTAATGAAAGCTAAGTCATGGCGATTGCGATGCGGAGTGGGAAGAGGGGGAGGGAGAGGAGGAGGAGGGAGAAGAGGAGGGGGAGCGGGGGGAGGCGGAGGAGGAAACGGGGGAGGACGAGGAGGACGAGGGGGGGGGAGGAGGAGGAGGAGGAGGAGGAGGAGGAGGAGGAGGAGGAGGAGGAGGAGGAGGAGGAGGGTCGCCTCCAACACTCGCTGCGCTTGCCATGGCCGCTCCGCAGCGACCTCGAACGCAACTGCGCCCCCTGCCCCCCCCCCCCGCGCCCCAACGCGCGCCGCAACTGCGGCCTCACACGCCGCAACTGCGGCCTCAAAGGTCATCGAGGTCAATCCCTGAGTTCCCTCGCCGTTCCCATCTTCTCTGGGGCGCCCCCCCCTTGGCGGGCGCCCTCTTTCTGGCGCCTGTGGAACGACACTGGGGCGAGCTCCTTCTGGGCGACCCTCCCAATAGGGATCAGGGCGGCTCTTCTGTAGCGCGCACGGATGCCGCGACTGCGGCCCATGCCCCATTCCCACATTGGGATTTCGGCGGCTGGGAGCCAGCGCCGCGCGACGTCGGAGTCGCCCACGCCCCGCAACCAATCCGGCAGCGGCGGCGGCTGCGTTTCCTCACAGGTAGCGATTATGATGTCGCACGGGCCCACGGGCACAATGCAATTCGGACGCAGCACTGGGGCGCTCCGCCCATTGGGCGCGTCGCCCCATTTCATCGTGCAGGGCGCAGCAAGCGGGCGCGCCCCGAAGGCGCCGCAACTGCGGAAGAACTGGAGCAGGGACTCCTTGTCGCCGTCGAAGAAGCAGCAGAGGAACCGCACGTCGAAGTCGCGGACGTCCGAGATGGCTCGTTTCCACGACCAGTCGGTGCCCCACGGATTGGGTTTGTTCTTCTCGTCGATCCGCACGGCCCACCACCTCGCGAGGATGGCGAATGGAATCGTCGCGCCTGATATTCGATTGGACTCCACCAGGTCTGCGCAGACGACTAATTTGCAGTGATCGCCACCGTCGGCCTCTGTCGCGACTGCGACCTCTTCGACGTGATGGGGCCGCCGCGGCGCGAATCCGACGTCGGTGTCGCGAGGGCCGACCAACGGAAGTCGCCCCCAGAATGGACCCTCCCCCGCGTCCTTCTGCGCGTCGATCGCGCCCATCAGGCTTTGGGGCGCTTCTCCCACCCCAACTGAAGCTTCTGTCCCGTTCGAAGCATGCACCGCAGCAATGAAGTCGGGGTCGAAGAGAATGACGAGAAGATTCGCTGTCTGCCAGTAGAGCCACTCCGACACCGAGTCTCTCGTTCACTTCATCGTGATTATCGCGACGTTGACCGCGAGATTGATCGTGGACGGTATCCTGGTACCGCCCCGCAGCTCAATGCGCCTCTCGTTCCAGTTGCGCCGGGGCGCAGGGCGAGTCGGCGACCGCAACTGCGGCTTCGAAAACTGCGTCTTTCACAGCGGCAGCTGCGCTGGAGCGCTCTTCGCTAAGACCCCCTGCCGAGCAAGGGCGCG